TCCTTTGGGAATACACTTCAGGAAAGAAAATGGGGAGAGTAGAAGGAAAGGAAATCTAAAAAAGGAAAAAATTCTTTGAATTTGAGAATTTTGATTTTTTTTATTACCATGACATATTAATTGCCACCAAGTTTTTCATCAGAAAGTGGGAATCTGTATTACTCCTTTCTTTCTAAATTGTATAGTTTTCTGTCACTAAATAGAATAGAGGAGCACACTTCGGAGTAGCAACTGGGGCGTGAATTCTAGCAGAGGCACATTCTTCATTAGCTACACGTTTTGTGTGGGCATGTTCCCACAGCGCCCTCTACTGCCAGGCCAGTGATAAGCCAGTATTGCACAGTCACCTAATGAAACTTAGATTCTGGGAGTCTGGTAATAACAGGCGGCTGGGGGAAGGGGAGATTCTAGGGGGGAAAGCTTCTTTGTTATCCCCTTCCTCCACTTTAGTTCACTCAAACGGCACCTGGAACTGAGTGGCAGGAGACATGGACTAGTTGCTTTTGCCATTATCTAAGTTATAGGAATGGGATATGCCCATCCAAGTTATAGAATCATAGAATCCTGGAAGTTAGAGCTGAGAAGAACCTAAGAGGTCCTCTAGCCCTACACTTCATAATATAGACGAACAAATTGAAGCACAGATTGGTAAATTGATTTATCTAAAATCGTATAGTTAGTTTGTACCAGAATCTGGACTACAGCATGTGAACTGATCCACAATTCAATGCTCTCTCCATTACACCATGCTGCCAGAAACAAATTTCATCACTTTTAAAACTCAGACTATAATCTCTGCTTTACTTAACTCATGGGCTATTTGTGAAGGGAAAATGAAAGGTCTCATAGGTGCAGTGGAAAGAGTGTAGATGTGGAGTCAGAAAGACCAGATTTAAATGCCACCTCCATTTGGTGGTGAGAGGCAGCTCTGGGAAGCAGGTACTATAAATTATCCCTATTTTGCAGATAAGAAAAGTGAGGTAAAGAAAGGCTAAGTAAATTGCTGAGGGGAAAACAGGTAGTATGTGTCTGAGCCAGGATAACACTAAATGAGTGAAAAAGATTAATATTACAAAGACTATTCTAAAGATGAAATCTTGGGTATTCCTTTTCTTAAAGGGGGAGAGGAGGGAATACCTATGTAAGTCAGCTCAGTAGAAAATCCCTAAAGCACCAGCAGGAAGGCGAAATAGTCTATTTGTAGGCATTGTGACATTAAGCAAAAACAAAACAAAACAAAAAACATAAGCTCTAGAGTTAGGGGACCTGGGTTTGATTCCTATCTCTGCCTTTTATCAGCTCTCTGACCTGAGGCAAATCACTGACTATATCTCAGCCTCAGCCTCCCCTTTGGGAAGTTACACACCCTGTGTGGTTATTTAGAGAATAACTATAATCTTTAAGTTTGTTCTCTGGATTCCAGTGTTTAGTAACTGGAAAACAGACAAACTTGATATAGTGGAAAGAGTACTGGATTTAGTCAGAGAACCACACAACTCTATCACTTGTATGACCTTGGTCCAGTCCTTTGACTCTCTAGACCCGTTTCCTCAACTGTTAAATTAGAGTATTGGGTTACGTGATCTTTAACGTCCTTTCCAGCCCCTAGAATCTATGAAAGTATGTTTTTGTTGTTCATAAAGACACACTAAAAAGATGAAACAAGTGGTCTTTCAGTGTGTTTTCCTAGGCAGTGTGTAACCAACCCCTACCACTGCAGCTGCCTACCTAACAGAGGAGCTCTCCCTGGTGCTAGAAACACTGTCAGGGATCTGCTTCAGAACTAGAATTTAAAATCACAGATCTAGAACTGGAAGAGACCTTCAGAGGTCATCTAGTCCAACCCCCTCATTTTGAAGCTGAAGAAACTGAGGCCTGACAAAGTTAAGGGACTTGCACAGGATCACACAGCTAATAATTTTCTGAGACAGGATTTGAGCCCATGTCTTGCTGGCTACAAATTCAGCACTTCATACGCTATGTTATTGTTGTTGTTGTTGTCATTGCCGTTTTCACCATCATCATCATCATTGTTGTTGTTGTTGTTGTGAGAAGGGACTTTCTTAGCTCTTGGCAGTCTGAAGGTCTCTTCTCCTAAACATACTGGGAACCCAAGGAAAACACGTATATCCATAAGCATCAGCCTTCATCCTTAGGAATGATACAAAAGGGAGATATTTTCTGGATCCTGAAAATGATTTGCAGAAGGCATACTAGCATGCATGGTGTGACCATGATATTCATTTATCTTTTATAGGAAGAAGACTGTCAGGCTCCTGTAATAATTCCACTATGGGAGAAACATTTTGAACCCAAACACTTGTACAGTGGAAAACGTCCTGCACTAAAAGGCAGAATTTCAGGTTCTGAGAGTACATCAGACCACTCTTCTTTGAGCCTTAATTGTCTTATTTGGAAAACATGGATAATAGTATCCCCCTACTGAATCAGATTCTTAAAGTATGTTAAATCTTCAGTGTCAGATTTTATGATTGACATAGATGGTCTTTGAACTGATCCCCATCCTCAGATTTACACTACTCCTCCAAGGAAAACAATTCCTTTTTGCCCTGCTGGCTTAGGAGAATGAAGCAGGGCAAATTGGGGCATCAAATCCCATCTCAGAAAAGTATTAGCTATGTTATCTTGTACAAGTCTCTTAACATCTCCGAGTTTCCATTTCCTTATCAATAAAGTAAAAGTGTTGGGCTAGTAGTCACCAAAATCCAAGATCCTGTGACTCAGAGATTCAGAAAAGCATGAAAGTCATTGAACTGAATGAAAATCAGGAGATCTGGATTTTCTCTATCTGAAAAATGAAGATGCTAATATTAAAACTTCCAACCTCCAACGGCCATTACAAGAAAAATGCTTTGTAAACTATAAAATACAAAATAAATATGAGCTATTTTTCTCTACCACTCTCTGTGTTATCTTATGTAAATGAATTCACTTCTCTGAATGTGTTTCCCTTCTTCAGACTGATAGGGTTGTACTATATGGTGCCTGAAGTCTTTTTCAGCTCTACAATTTTATGAGTCTGTGTTGATATGTGTTAAGAAATGGAAGCATGTCTATCTTGTCTGGGGAAGAATCTTTCCATTGCAAGCCAGTAGGTGGCATTGAGAGAGCAAATAAAACCACATTGGAATCATCCTCAAGCTGCCAGGAATTTTTTTCCAGGCAAGATTGGTGGGGGTGAGTTTTGATGGCAGAGTAAGAAGGAACCCACTTTCATTGTGTCCAAGAAAGTCAATTTTTCATCTATTCCATTCAAGCTTTAGCTTTGGAAATCACAAGGTATCTAAAAGAAAATACCCTTCCTAAATGCCAGAACAAAAAAGTTAAGAGAGAAGGTAGAGGAAGTAGAATGTAGTAGAGTTCAATTCAAAATGACTGGATTTGAATGATCACTTTGTGTGACCTTGGACAGTTCATTTAATCACTCTGAGGCTCAGTTTCCTAATCTATAAAATGAGGGCATGAAGCTAGATGATTTAAAAAGCATAGTGCAAAAGCATAAAAAGAACCAAATTCACTGTACTTTTCATCATTACTACAAACTATTATCATTATTAGCTTTATTAAGAATAAAACTCTGATAAACAATAACAACTAGACTGGTATGAGGCATTCTATTAATCATGCCATAGCTATGGCATTCATGTTTTATGAGAGGAGCTGATGGCCTCCTGCAACAATTCTATTGTGAGAGAACTAATAATAATAATAATGACAATAATAATAGTAATATATTATATTTGTAGAGTGTTTCATACTTTTCAAAGCCCTTTAATATGAATTTTCTCATTTGATCTTTTCAGCAGTGTTGTAAGGTGGGCAAGGCAGACATTATCCAAATTTTACAGAGAAGGAAACTGAAGCAAAAATGAAGAAGATAGCATGTCTCAAGTTGTACCCTAGCTGGAAATGGAAGTTTTTAACCCCTTACCTTCTTTGGAGGAAAAAAAAGTGAATTTAATAATAATAACTAGCACAACTCTTGGATGTAGATGCTATTATTATCTTCTTTTTAAAGATGAGGAAGCTAAGACAAATGAGGTTAAATGGCACCCAGAGTCAAAAAGTCAGTTAAAGTGTCTGAGGCAGGATGTGAACTCAGGTCTTCCTGACTCCACATCCTAAGTTAAATCCACTGCTTATCAGGGAATCTTTTTTTTTGATGGAAAAATGACATAAAGAGAGTAGTTGAGGATACAAAAAGATGGGAATAGAGAAAAGAGGACAGAAATCTAGTAGTTTGGAATTAGGTGTTCAGGGACATGGGCATCACAAAAAATACCATTCTAGCCAAACTTTTCTTTAGACTAGTGTGGTATGGTTAGAAGAGCATCGAACTTGGAGTTTAAAGAATGAGTTCCTGTTCCAGTCCTGCCAAAAACTATGTGGCCCCTGAGCCTCAGTTTCCTCATTTGTGAAATGGATATTATTATACTTGCATTACATAGCTAGTATGGCTATTTTGAGATTTAAATGAGTTTCTGTTCAAGCACTTTGTGTTAAATATGCATTCTTAATATTGTTATTATAAACCATGTGGTGGCAGGAGGTGATGTTGTAGTGAGTCATTTCCACTCCCACCATTAGATCTCAGTCTTTAAGCAATTATTTCCAGATGTTTCTTCCCACAAGAAAAATGGAGTTTGTGTCCAGGAGTCTCACATAGATTTATGTCAACTTTTCCTGGGACCACGAAAGTTCTTGGTAGAACAATCAGGATGCCGCATATGTAACATAGTAAGAATAGGCCTTATCATAATTTAGTTTCATGTCCTCATTTTATAAGTAAGGAAACTGAGACTTAGAGAGATTAAATGATTTGCCCAAGGTCACCCAGAGTGACTAGTAACTTCAAATCCAAAGCTACTACATTCTATTTCTGTTTTCCCTCTTTAGGAGGTTTGAGAGCAATGAACACTGCCCAGCCAGGCCACCTCAGTCATATGCTTGATGAATATTTATTAAAGCTTTCTCTAGAACTGGGCTGGATTCCACTTTGGTAGCTGCTTATTACTCCATAATCTCATTAACCAGAATCAGAGGTTGGGGGTGATGGTAAGGGGTTTGGGGGGAGTCATTCATTGGCTTTCTCAGCTCTAGCCTCCATCATCATTTAACACCTCAGGCTAAGGAAATTTCATAGTATGAGGCAGATGGGGATGCATCATGGGGAACTGGCCCATTAGTTCACACTTAGATCTCTGCATCCATAACCAAGCAGCTCTAGTCAATAAGTCAACCCACCTCCCCCTCTACTGGGCCTAGGGGCTGACATTAGAGGACCCTTGTGTCATTCCTAGCTTCAGGACCAGGTTGAGATAAAGCCTTAGTCTAGCATGCAGATTCTTCATACCATGCCAGGAACCTAGAGGGCTCTCCTTAAAGGATCTTCCCTACTGCTAAGTGAGGCACAGACCAAAATAGATATATAAGGTCTCTAGTTGAAAGCTATTCCTCTGAAAGAGAAATAAGATAAAGGCACTGACTACTTCTGTCAATTTTTTTAAAGAGATACTACATACTTGCCCCCTACTTCATAGCTATTACTAAATCATATTCTCTATGTTCTTTGGAGAGTTAAAGGGCAATGTCCAGGATGTGTGAGCTTCATTTGATAGACGAGGGCACCATTCTTATAGCAAAGGGCATGATATCCAGCTAGATTAATGGAACAGCAAAATCCCAAGGACAGACAGCAACAGCCCTGGCCAGATCATTAGGAACCCTGAAACATAAAAGAGAAAATGGCAAATTATCCTCCTCTGATCTCAGGCTTTGATGGTGTGTTGAGGGCTGTCATCGAACCCAAACTGGATTTCTACTGTTCACTGCACTGGGGTAGGAGAGAAAGAACTTACCTTCTGAATAGACTTCAGGCCAAAAGGTGGCATCTAGCCAGTGTGGCTGCAGTCACTGATAACTATACAAGGCCCTCTCTCATATGCACATTGCCTATATTTGTATATCTTATACTTACTAGCCTTGTAATTTGCAAGACTGTATGATACAGCGCAGCTAAGTGGTGCAGCGGATAGAGTGCTGAGCTTGGTGTCAGGAAGACTCATCTCGAGTTAAAATCCCGCCTCAGATGCTTACTAGCTCTGTGACCCTGGGCAAGTCACTTAATCCTGTTTGTTTCAGGAGGAAGAAATAGCAAACCATTACAGTATCGTTGCCAATAAAACCCCAAATGGGGTCATGAAGAGTTATACACAACTGAAATGACTAAACAACAATGATTATGTGCTGTTGTAAGCTTTGTCCACCTTGAAGGTAGTGTTTTATAGTGGATAAAAAGCTCACCTCAGAGTCAGCAAGACCTAGCTCAAGTCCCATCTGTGACATATGCTAGCTGTGTGACCATTGGCAAGTCACTTAACCTCTCAATGACCTAGGCAACTCTCTAACACTGTGAGTGGAAGAGGAGATGCTGACACTGAGAAAATGATGGCTCTGCGATTCCTCCCCACCCCCACTCCTGATCCCTCACATCCCTATAGCAGTAGTAGGAGGTAGGCAGGCTTTGTATTATTATCCTCATTATACAAACAAAAAAATTGAGACTTCAAGAGGTTAAAGGACTAACTCAAGTCTAGGTAGCTGCTTAGTGACAGAACTAGCACTAGAATATGTCTCATGACTCCTAATTCCAGTACTTTTCCCATTTTCCTTATTACCTATATACATACATATGTATATATATATATATACACACATCTATATACATATATACACATATGTACACACACACATATATATACACACCTTATTTCTTATCTCGTTCTGATTTCACTCTTTCTTCTACTTTCTTCTTTATATAACCTTGCTGCCTATAACTTAATAGCATTGATTCAGCCAGAGAAAGAGAAAGGCCCTAAAGCAAGGGTTTTTAACAAGGAGTCTATGACATTGGTTTCATCATCATCATCATCATCATTACTTTAATGATTGTATTTCAATACCATTGAATTCTTTTGTATTCCTATGAATTTCATTTGATATTTTTAAAAACATTCTTCTAAGAAGGGGCCTGTAGGCTTCACCAAACTGCCCAAGGGATCCATGGTACAAAAAGATTAAGAGTCCTTGGCTTAGAGGCAAACCAGAAATCATCCAGTACAGCTCTCTAGTTTTACAGGTGAGAAAACTAAAGTCCAGAATGGAGAGAAGACTTGTCTAGTGTAACACAGATAGTAAGTAGTTGGGTTTTGAGTGAAGCCCAGCTCCCTGTCCTTCATTTTAGTGCTCTTCTTACTATAACATATGTCTTGTCTACTCAGTCTTTCTGCCTTTTGGCTATATCAATAGACCAGTCTATTGAGAAGATTTTTCTGACTTTAAAGATCTCCACAGGTAGAAATTCTGAAGTTAGTCATCCATTCCAAGGTTTGACTATTACTTTTATAAAATAATATTGTCTAAGTTGTTTTGAATGTATTCTGTGTTAAGCATGATGTAGGTTGTCATCTTGATGCACTTGTTTGGTGATTTTTTGGTTGTTCAGACATTCAGTCCTGTTTGACTCTTTGTGATCCCAAGGACCATAGTATGCCAATACTATTCATGGGGTTTTCTTGGCAAAGATCCCAGATTGGTTTGCCATTTCCTTCTCTAGTGGATTAAGGCAAACAGGTTAAGTGTCTTGTCCACAATCACATAGCTAGTAAGTGCCTGAGGCTACATTTGAACTCAGGTCTTCCTGACTCCAGGCACAGAGTTCTATCCACTGAGCCACCTAGCTGCCATGATGACTTTTATTGTATTCTAATTGTATGGCTTATGGTTGGAGTGTTTTCAGGCTTCCTTTATCTGTATTCCTTATTGTAGCTTATTATCTGGGGCAAAAACCAAGCAGGAGAGATAAAAAGGGGAAGAATGGAGATAGAGAATTAATTAATTTTGTATAGCTGCTAGAAGGAGAGAATGATGAAAAGGAAGGAAGGAAGGGAGGGAGGGAAGGAGGGAAGGAGAAAGGAAGTTAAGAGGGAGGGAGATAGGAGGGAGGGAAGAGAAAAGGGAAGTAAGGGAGAGAGGGAGGGAGGGAGAAAGGGAAGGAAGGAAGGCAAAAGGAATAACTTACCTAAGGGGGTGGCGGTTCCACTTGTGACAGGGACAGATGGGGAACCTACCAACAAGAACATAAAGGTGAGTGTCTTATCAGCTAAGTTCTTGCAGCCCTTAAGTCATCCTGCTTCTGAAGAGTAATAGTATGAAAAATGATGGGGAAAATGAATGGTTTATCACATTTAAATCTCAACAGGAAGGCAGGACAGCTCAAAGCTTTAAAGCAGAACCTACTCAGAGAAACCTATTGTTTCCTTCCTTTCCCTACCCCCAAGTGGTCTTTTTGATATGTAGTAATGACAGACCATTCCCACTCACCCCATATAGCACTGAGTTGCCAGATCTTGCCACCTCAACAATATTCCTTGGATCCTTCACTTTCTCTCTTCTCGGATCATATCCTAATTCAGATCCTAATTATTTTCCACCTGGACTACAGCAATAGCCTCCTAATTGACCTCACTACCTCAAATCTCTCCCCTTCTCCACTCCATTCTCCTCCACACAGCCAATGAAGTCATCTTCCTAAAGATCTAAAAAGCAAGTCTGACCAAGTCACCCCTCAGCTCAATAAACTCCAGTGGCTCCCTGTTATTTCAAGGACCAAATATAAACTCCTTTGCTAATCCTCAACTTACTGTTCCAGCCATGGAAAAGTTTACTGTGTAATAAACACATCAATCCCCTTCATATACACTATAGTTTAACCAAATTAGATTTCTTACTGTCAATTATACCTAATACTACATTTCCATTTCTGCCTTTGTCTGCTATGCCCAGAATGCACTCCTTACCTATGCCGCTTATAATCCCTAATGTGTCCTTCAATGCTCAGCTCAGACAGTACCTCCTACATGAAGCTTTTCCTTATTCCCAAACTCTGCCTGAACCACTAGTACCTTCACCACTACCCCTCCCAAAAATTTATTAAATTGCCTTGTATCTATTTTGTATGTAACTCTATATGTACACATTGTCCTCCCCCAACTAGATTGTAAGCTCCTTGAGGGCAAGGACTATTTCACTTTTGTTGTTGTATCCCCAGTGCCTAGCACAATCCCTGGCACATAGGAGAGGCTTAATAAGTGTCTGTTGATTGATTAATAAGTAAAGGAAGCTGTAAGGCATGGAACATGGGGAAATGAGTCCTAAAAAATAATTTTTTAAATTAAAAAAAAAAAGCAACCTTAAGCTCAACCAATAAGCATATTAAGGTAAAGCTGTGTAAAGGCTGTATCCTCCCCCAACATACACCTGCCTCCTCAATATGCAATATGCTTATTGCCTCTTCTTGACTTCTTTCACCCTTTAAAGCTGCCCTTATTGTTTTCAAGCTGTTTTCCATCAACCAACCCTTCTCTTTCTTGTATCCTCCTCATCCAATAACATACTCTCGTGGCTTAAATCCTTCTTTTGACCCTGATCTCCATTTGAGCTGACTCCCATCTCTCCTCTCTCTCTTAATGACTTATTTTCTCACCACCTCCTCACTTCCCAAACCCCTACCATGTAGTCCCCACCCCTTCCATCTTACTACTGAAAATACTCTCTCCAAGGTCACCAATAATGTCCTAATCACCAAATCCATTAACCAAATAGAAAGTTAATTGGATCCTTCCTCCAAGGATGTTATTGATGACCTCACACTCTCATCATCATTAAGTTCTTTTTACCTCTCCGGGCAATAGGTCCCAAATCCAGAACATGAGCTGTGTCGATAGTAACTTCACTGCGGTGTTGAATTCCAGAGCAAGACTGTTAGAGTGGAAAATTCCCATCAGATTAGTTTCTAACTGAAGATTTCCAACTGACACATGCCCCTGACTCTAGCAGCACTAACTCTGGAATCAGTCATACTTTCCGTATGTCTTCCACATTAAGAATACTCTAAGTTTTCCTTTATTAGATCTTCTACTTTTCCTTTGTCCTGATCCAAATATCTCTAAATGCTATTCATATAGTATTTTTGTCTGAAATGTTATCCTTACCAGTCCCCAAAGTGATCTCAATTGGATCCTCATCTTTTTGTAACAGATTTAGACTCTTACAACCTCCAGACCACTCCTCCAACCCACCCCATGATACATGACCTCCTTTACCTCCCTACCTTTCCCATCCACTCTCTTCAAGTAAGCAAACTTTCTCCCAGCTTTGATTCCCATCTCCCATTTCCAAATTTTCCCCCTCTTCTGAGTGAGTTGCCATAAATGTTGAATGAAATGTACGTTTCCCCTTTGCTTGACACTGGTGCCTTCCTGCAGACAGTCTCCTTGATTTAGTGGAATGGATTTTGTCCTTTGCTTCTCAGTAATCTCTTTTTTAAAAAAATTCCCAGCATGAAATGGAGTGAAAAACACCCAGAGAAAATGGTTATCCTAAGCTATTTTAGGTAGTATGCTTTTTATAACGTATAAATGCACACTGATTGTGAACACTGCAGAAGAATTCAATCATATTCAAGATGCACTTACTGGACGACATCGTTCTTTGAGACTGTCACAGAGATAAACTTCACAGTGCAGGTAGACAAGGTCATGATTTCCAGCAAACATAAACACTTGAACTGAAAAGCGACCTTCAGTAGATACCCCATTCTCCTCCACTCTGATGGTTGAATCATATAAGTTTGGGCAGCTGTGAGGGTGACAATGGTAGGGTTATCCTTCTAAGAGGACTCAGATGGCCCAAGTCCTATAGCTGAAATTTAGTTTTGCCCCTGGGCAACCATTGACTGGCAAATACCTGTTCCTAATGATGAAATACTTCAAGGGGTCAGTTGGATCTTTAGTGGGTGTGGCGTAGCAGTTCTTCATCAGTAGGTTGAACTGGGAGGTATCCCCTTGGTATAAAATGGCACCCACATAGAGCATGGATTCAACAGACAATACAGCCATGGCACCTTCATAAGGGGAGGTGTAATTCTGGTCTTGGAAGAGAGCCATTCTCACTAGGAATTTTCCTGAGCCAGTGGCATTAATGTTCAGAGCACTGGAACAAGACCATAATGGTAGAAACATCAGCCTTTAAATTTTCATTCATACACTCATTCAACAAATATTTATTAAAAGCCAACTGTGTGCAAAGCACTATGATAAATGATAAGGAAGACATATCATTTAGACAATACAATATCAATGCCCTGGAGCTTACAGTCATTGGGATTAAGCCACAAAGACAATTGTAACATGCATCATTGTATGACAAGGGCATTAGAGATAAGTAACAAAATTGATGAGAAAAGTGTAGGGAAGGGAGTTGTTTCCAACCAGAGGAGAATAACAATGAACTGTATTCAGGGTTTATGAAATATAAGCAGTTATCTCCAATGGTAAAAATACATTTGAAGCCAAGGTTTTAAGTGTTTGATCTCTTTATGGTCTACTTAACCTTGACCTACTCCCCACACCACTTATCCAGTCTTCTTACACCTTATACATTCTACACACACACATATTCTTTGATACTGGCCTCCTTCAATAAACACTCTTACTTCATAGCTCTGAGCATTTTCACTGGCTGTCCCCCATGCTTTCCCCCCTCATCTCTATCTCCTGGCTTTCCTGACTTCCTTCAAGTCCCAGGTAAAATCCTGCCTTATATGGGAAACCTTTTTCAATCCTTCATAATTCTAGTGCCTTCCTTTTGTTGATTATTTTCTATTTATCCTATATATTATTTGTTTGTATATACTTGTTTACATGTTATCACCCCATTAGACTATGAGCTCCTCAAGAGCAGGGGTTGGCTTTTGCCATCCTTTGTATCCCTAGTACTTAGCACTGTGCCTGGAACATGATGGGCATTTAATAAATGGCTATTGGCTAGGATCTATTCCATAACTTCAGAGTGTTTCTTCGATCCTAGCCAAGATAAAATGGGTGAAAATGGATTGCAAATGGGTGCTATATACAAGTGAAAAAAATGACATAACAATTGTAAACACAAATGAGCCCTGACTCATATTTTCTTGACAGTGGATCAATAGTTATATTCTTGTAACCAGAGAAGATGAGGATATACAGCTAGTGCCATCCATACTACACATATGCTCTATGCTGTAAATTGCAATTGCAAATATTGATAGAATGCACCATTCACCAAGGTAGCTCTTCCAGTGTTGTACCTGACAATGGGCTTTGTGGCTGTTTGGAGACTGACTTTCATATCCAGGGGGTAGGCACACTGAAAGTCAATTTTGAAAATGCTGTCTCTGATGATAAGCTGGTTGGCCAAGGTCAGCGTGTTTTTGTAAATAGCATGAGTTGCATTTCTCTTGGGGGAAAAAGAAATATTCCATGTTATTAGCCTTATTTTTAGACAAATGAAACAGCTTCAGCATTTCTCAAATACTGTCCTTTAGGCATCTTCACAGGTTATCACAATAGTGGTTTTTACCTTTTAAATTGGCATTTATTGCCTTTTATGTTTCTATCTTGAAAGAGTAACACCTTACCATACCCCTTACCCTCACCATCATGTACACACATGTGGGTGCGTAAGTGTTTAAATATATGTATGTATGTGTGTATGTATATTCATTTATCTGAAGAGGCAACAGGATGTTCTCAAGAAATTTTTAAGGCAAAATTCATTTTACTTGACTTTAATTTTTTAAAAATAAATTTTTGATACTTTTAGAGAGTATTATAAAATCCAACCAGTAAAAGGACATCATAGTTCCTCAAAGGGCTTAGAATCACTATTTTTTTTATTATCATCATCATTGAATGGTGATGATGGATTCTAGAGTTCAAGGTCACCTTCCAAATCATCTGGTTTCTTCATTCAACAAATAATGAAACCAAGGTGTAGCTAGAACTAGAACCCATGGCTTCTAACTCCTGTTGTTGTTGTTCAGTCATTTTCAACTCTTCATGACCCCATTTGGAGTTTTTTTTGGCAGACTGGAGTGGTTTGCCATTTCCTTCTCCAGCTCACTTTATAGATGAAGAAACTGAGGCAGGGTTAAGTGACTTGCCCAGGGTCACACAACTAATAAGGCCAGATTTTAACTCAGGAAGAGGAGTCACCTTGACTGCAGGCCTGGCACTCTGTCCACTGCACCATCTAGCTCATTCATTATTCCCTCTATAATTTGGATTTTTCCGTGAGTGTATTCTTATCCTACTGTTTTTCATTGAAGTGTCCTCTCTCAAGAATTCAGCTTTGAAGGGCATTAGTGCTATTTGTAGGGATGAAATTAATTTAATTCTAGATGTAGTATATATATCCCTTAAAGTTCTCTGGGTCTTCAAGGATTAAATGTGGGGTAAAAATTTCCATATTTTTGATCACTGCTATGGTAAGATTTTTATTAAATGAGATCATCTATGTAAAACACTTTCCCATCATTAAAGTGTTACAGAAATGTTAGCAATTTAGAGATGTGCTGGAGACAGCTCAACCAGTTGGAAAGCTGATGTTAAATTTTGAATGTGAGCATTTATACCTCTGAAATTCCAAACACTACAAATCAAGGCTTGGTTTGTTGTTTTGTTGATTGTCCAGACTTAAGAAAGTAATGGAGAAAATATTAATAATACATATTCAGCTCCACAGTGTGTCAAGCATGCTTTCCCCTCCCAAGAGATCTGGTTGTAAAGCATTTACCAACACACATTATTACCATTACCATCTTAATGCAAGATAATGATTTCAGCAACCCAACCAAAATTGGATGTCAAGCTTCAGAATGTCCCTAGAAACATTCTGTTGACAAGAAGCTTAAGTTCATAAAGACCTCACTCATGAAGGGACTGACAAAGGTAAGGGTTATTTACTCTTTCTCCACAATAGAGAATTGACATTATTATCTGGCATGGCAAATCCAAACCCTAGATTGTCATCCAACGTGTTTTCAGTGGGCAGTGGAATGTGAGAGGTAGTGGTTGTCATTGCTGTTGTTGCAAGTTAAAAAATAGAATATTGTTATTTTGAGGAAGATGGGAAACATCAGTCCTGGCCTTCTTCTGATCTCTTTCTATCTCCTAGAAAAGAAAGTGTTGAACTAAGCCTACCTCCAGAGTTGTTCCACAGGCTCCAACCCGTGCTGGGCTCACCACCAACAGCTGGTTGCTCTCATTTGTCTCCAAAAATCCACTGCAGTTCCTGTCTCTGAGGTAGGCAAATATCTCTCCAGTGTACCCCAAACTCTCTAGCTGGCACTTGTCTAGAGACAGTCTGATGTCATTGGCTCCACATTTCAGTAGAGGGTGCAAGTTGGCAATATCTGAAAACTCACCAGACATGCCAGTCAGTAAACATTCAATATACATTTGATAACCACCTACCATATTCTGGGAACTGTGCTGAGCAATGAGACACAAAGAAAGGTGAAAGATAGTCGTTGCTCCCAAAGAGTTTCACAGTCTAATGGGGAAGATAATATGCAAACAATTATGTACAAACAAGCTATATCCAGGATAAATTGAAAGGCACTAGAAATAAGGAAGAGAGGGAAAGGCTTCCTGTGGAAGGTAAGATTTTTGTTGGGCTTTGAAGAAAGTTAGGGAGGTCAGGAGATGGACATAAAGAGATTTCCACACATGAGGAACAGCTAGTGAAAATGCCAGTTCCCAGGGTCAGGAGTTTGAATGTCTTATGAGAGAAATACAATGGAATTTGAAATAAGGAAGCAGGCAAATGGACGTAGAATCTTAGGATTATAGACTTAGATCTAGAAGGAGCCTCTTAGGTCATCTAAGAGTCACCTAGTACAATCTTCCCATTTTGCAGATGAGTAAACTGAGGCTCAGTAGCTTATCCAAGATTACACAGATGTTTAAGACTTGAACTCATGTCCTCCAACTCCAAATTCAGTGCATTTTCTACTGCTTTGTGCTTTATAATAAAATAATTGACAGCATCAATAAAAATGAGCACTTGTGTCACCTTATTGGGAAACATGGGACAAAAAAGTATCCTCAGTAAAATCTGTTTTTTTTTCTTGCTACAAAATGAAAAGAAGCAGCTAGATGGTACAGTGGATAGAGGTCTAGGCCTGGAGTCAGGAAGACTCATCTTCCTGAGTACAAGTCTGGCCTCAGACACTTACTGGCTTTGTGACCCTGGGCAAGTCACTTGACCCTGTTTGTCTCAGTTTTACAAGAAAACCCCAAATGGCATCATGAAGAGTTAGACACAACTGAAATGACTGAGCAACAACAAAAACAAAATGAAAAAGCTTGGGCTTTAAGCCTTCATTGTAATACCTTTGACAAAATAAATACTTTTCAGGGCATGGAGAGCAGGGAGATTTCTGGAACTTAGCACAAATGCATTGGTAAGACCACATCGGACACAGAAAGTTAGGGAAGATGATACCCTCAACACTTTGACAGAGGTGAAGGGTGAGGGAGCAAAAATGAGACTGGATAACCCTAATACTAGTCAGGCTAAGTTCTGGAACAATGACTTAGCAAAACTAGGAAATCGAGGCGTCGTGGCTTCCCTCCCTTGGTTGCTCTCCAACTTCTCAATGTTCTTTCAATTAACAAGCAATATTAAGGATCTACTGTGCATGCCATCAGTTAATGGGTTTACAAAGACAGATAATGGGAACCCAAAGGAGCTGTAAGCACCCTGAGGACAGGAATTGTTTCACTTTTGTCTTTGATCTCCCTATACCCAGCCCAGCTCCTGGCATATAGTGGATCTCTAATAAATTGCTTGTTGATTTATTGATTTAAAGGATGCTGTGAAACTGGAGACTGTTCAAGAAAGGGAAACTAATCCTAATTTTGCTCAAGGTCAGTGTTGGTAGAGCTTGTGGCTTGGTTGCATATCCACACAGCATGTGTCTATACTATCTTTGCATCTCTAGTGCACAGTACCCAATACCCAATGATGCTTAATAAATACTTGTTAAATTGAAATGCATATATCAGTATAGAGCAACAAATGTTCCAACAACCACTTCCTTACTACTTATAGTTTATAGCTTCTGCCTATACCCAGCATGGACAAAGAACTTTAGTTCCCCACCAGTCTTCCCATACTTGTACCTACCAGAAATATTGAGGTCTGGTCTGCAGTGACAGCCCCAGGTGCCATTGACAAGTCGGCATTCCTCTTGGGGGGAACAGTCCAGGTCACATTCTGGCTCAGTTGCATCAGCAGTATTGGGGTCTACAATGCATGGGGAGAAGAAAAGGATGTCAAACAGAAGGGTTCATGAGCCACACACTACTAAGAACCCCAGAGTAACCCAATTCCCAGCTACTCACCTGTACAGTATGCCAGATTACATGCAGGAGTTGCATTTAACTTGTAGACATAGAATCCACCTGTACAAGCCTTCACCTTCACCACCATATTCCAGAGGCAACAATTATTGCTCCAGTGAGCACAGGCTGTGCGACTAACAATACCTTCCTCTTTTGATGGGTGGGTCCCATTCAGCCACACTGGGGCATCTGTGCCACATCTATTGACCGACACACACTTCTCTGGTATCCTTACCCCTCCTGGACCCGAAAACCGATACCAGCCTTCTTTATTAGTGTCACATGCCCTCCTGTTATCCATTTCGTTCAAGCTTCTCCAGGCCTCGACAAGCGTGGTATAGTTATCACATGGATCAGAACACACGTGGGCCTCAGGCATCCCTGGCTCTCCACAGTCTAAGCCCAGTCCATAGGAACTAGGTAAGAGAATGTTTACTGGACCTAATGGAGTGAAAAAACAGGCTCGTGTTTACTTTTTTGTTATGGCTGATTGGCATAAGGCTAGTTGACTAGCCTTTCTTGATTCCCCTTCCCCCCAATTGATAGTACCCTTCCTTCCAAACTAGCTTGTGTTTTTAATTTATTTGCATTTTTCCTCTTTATATTTATTTGGTATATACTTATATGTGTACTTGCTATCTTTCCTTCTTCCCCCCCAAGCCTGCCCCCCCATTACAAGGGACACTTTGTGAGTAGGTTTTGTTGTACTCTTTGTATTTTTATCCTCAGTGTCTAGCACAGTGTCTGGTGCATAATAAATGCTTATTGATAGAGTCTACTGTCTATTTGTTGCGTGTTAACCCTCTTTTTGGTGCAACATCCATCAGCTAAATAAACATGGGACTGAGAACCGAATTATCAGGACAGCCATGACCAACTGACCTTTGAGTCAGGGCTTCCTTTGTAATGAAATCACATAGGTGGTAACAAGGTAGAGTGGAGGGGGGAAAATGGGGGGAAAACCCACTGATTTTGGAGTTGAAGACCTGGATCTGAATCCTGGTTTTGCCTTTTATTACACTTACTTTATGGAGGTGGCCACATCTGCAATTTCGTTGGTATAGATCACAGTGGTGGGAAACCTGCAGCCTAGAGGCCACATGTAACCTCAAGGTCACAGGTTCCCCACCCCAGTTAGGAAATTCCTTTGGCTAATATAGATTGGAACCATTTTTCTGCAGCGTCTTAGGGGTTTGCTTGGACTCATTGAGAGGTTGTGATTTGGTCATCAATGCTGTCGAAGGTGTTGCTTCAACCCAGGTCTTCTTGTTCCAAGGCCTGCTCTCTAATTGCTATGCCATGCTACTTTACTTTATGCTTATTTACTATATAATCATCTGTGTGATACTGAGAAAGTCACTTCACCTCTATGGACCTCAGTTTCCCTGTCTGTAAAATGATGGATTTGGAGGAAGGTGGAAGGAAGGGAACAAGCATTTTAATTGCCCATGATGTGTCAGACACTCTGATAAGTGCTTTACAAATATTATCTTTCAGCTCTAAATCTTATGATTCCTCTTTTCATTTTGTTGGCCAGTTTATATATAAAGATATAAACATGTCTTTAGTAGGCAGAGCCTACATAGGGAGAACTAGAATCTGAGACTCTGAGAAGTGGATGGAACCATTAGGGGATCTAATACAATCTCCTGTTTTAAAGGATAGCAAACTGAAACTCAAAATGCTGGAGTGACTTGCCCAAAAAGTTAGTAATAAAGCTAGGACTCAGAACCCAGGTCTCTTGAGTTCTATCCCACTATTCTTTCCAATGTTCCAATATTCCAATATTCTTTCCTACTATGAATAAAAAGAAGTATTTTACAGAGATAGGACTAAAATGATTGAACTCATTACCACCATCTACCCTGCCTTTATCCCCACAGCTAGTACAGGATAAAAACAGGTAAGTTAAAGAAAGGTTTAGGTCAGGGATGGGAAATCTGTGGCCTCAAGGCCACATGTGGCCTTCTAGGTCCTTGGGTGCAGCCTTTTGACTGAGATCAAGTTTTACAGAACAAATCCTTTTATTAATAATTATTAATTATTTATTATTGTTCTATGAAGTTTGGACTCAGTCAAAGGGCCACACTTTAGGACCTAGAGGGCCACATGTGGCCTCAAGGCAGCAGGTTCCCCATCCCTGGCTAGGTAAACTAATGTATGATGGAATCATTGTGGAGATATTCATGAAAGTTAGTAATATTTAGGGTTTAGTATTATCATCAGAATTATAGAGTCAAAAGAGACCTTAATAAATAATTAATTCTTATTCTCTTTATCAAGGCACTGAAGCTCCCAAAGAGAAAGGGACTTAGTGAAGACTACACACTAAGTTAATGGCAGATTCAAGATTAGAACCCAGGCTTTCTGACTCCCTAGTCATTGTTCTTACTACATCATTCAAAGACTGTAATTACCTATCCTGTCCTTTGGAGCATTCCCCACCCCTCCACCCCAGGTTAAAGCCTCCTACCTCCTGTCCTTTTATTCCTCCTTTTAGGAGCCATCTTTAAAGACCTATTCATGGAGTTAAATAAATAGTGCCATCTGGCTCTCAATCACCATCAGAGGATCACTCAGGGAACTAGTCTGCAGTTTTCCCCTATCCATAGTAGTACTCTGCTGCCCCTGCCCCATGCCCATTTCCTCCTCCCACCCTAACCAACCCTGCCAAATTGTCATATTGGACTAGAGAAATCTAAGACACCAGGTAACACTCACCCTTCTGGGCTGCAAATGCCAAAGTGAAAAAGTAGTAGGTGCAGGCCACAAAGAGGAGGTAGACCCGCTTCATCCTGACCTCTGAAGTGTCTTCTGCTACAGAACTGGGAGTTTTTGTATAGCTGTGGGGAGAAAAAGTACCAGAGTAAAGTGAAAATTAAGAAAGCAACATATTATTGTTGAACGTGTGACAGGCACTGCAAGTTGACTTCCTCCAAAAATTGAATTCCTTCCAAACCCCACCCTTTTACTCTTCCTCCTCTTTATGATCAAGTTAAACTCACCTTCTCTCTGTTTCTCATACATGACACTGTATCTCACATCTCCATGCCTTTGCCTTAACCATCTCCTGTGCCTGGAATGCACTCCCTCCTTACCTGTGCTTTATAGAGTCCCTCTCTTTAAGACACAGAGAAAGAACTGATAAATAGAGGTATGTATAGAATGATTTTCATATATATACATGTTTATGTCTAATGGAAGTCATCTCTAGAGAGAAGGGCAAGTGGAGGGAAGAGAAAAAAAGGGGAAAAAAGAAATTTACATTACTTTATTATATATTTAAAAGGAATAGCAAGTTGTACATGATAGATTTGAAGTTTCATGTACAATCATCTTTTTTTATTATGCTATGTTATGAAATGCTTGTTTTATTCCATAAATTAAAAGTAAAATAAATAAAAAATTTTTAAAAGATATAGCTCAAACATTATCATCACATGAAGCCTTTCCTGATCCCCCAATTTCTACCTTGTATGTGCTTTGCAAATATGTTTATATTTATTTATTTTATATTATGCTGTGTATATTTATTCATGTCCTTGTTTTCCCCATTAATATGTAAACTCCTTGCATGTAGGGATGGTTTCACTCACTATACTTGTATCCCCAGTGTCCACCACAGTAGTTGGCACACAGTAGGTCATTAATAAGTACTTGTTGATGTATTGATTGACATAATAGCTGTGTCCCAGAAAGTTTAGTAAATGTAAGACTTCTGTATCAAATCCCATTTCACCATTGACTGCCGTTTCATTTCTAATTAATCTTCACTTGGCAGTTGTTCCTAAAACTCTAGATTTAATTTTATTTTATTCTTTTACCACTACAACCTCCCAAGTCGTAACATGTAAACCCTTAAAAGTACTGAGAGTTCAAAGGAACTCTAGGTGAACCTTTTGGTAGTAGAATGCACCCCCTCATATGTCACGATTCTAGTATAACTACCTCATTTTACAGATGAGGAAACTGAGGCCCAGGACAATGAAATGACTAGAAAAATGTCACAAGGCAATAAATGACAAAGGAATGATTTGAACCCAAATCTTCTGATTCCAAAGTCAGAAGAATAAATATATGAACAAATGGTAATCCAAGAATTTAAAGGAAAATAAAATTGGAAGATATCAGAACTCTGATAAATGCAGTTACCAATCAACTTCAGAGGACCCGTGGTGAAACATACCTCCCTTATCTTAGAAGAGAGATGGTGGAGTATAGGTGCAGAACAAGGCATATGTTGTCAAACAGCTAATGTCTTGGTTTATTTTACTTAATTATACAAGTAGATCAACACCTTTAAATTGCAAAGCCCTCGGATAAAGACCCTGCCCACCTATCCTAGCCATGGATCCACTTCAGAAGCACAACAATAAACATCAGTTCTCTGAAAATGAGAGATCAGACTCTGCAAAATTTCCTTGAAACAAATTAGAACACTGAGAAGTCTCTACTAATATAGTTAGAATTGATATTCATGCAATTGGCAGGGAAAGATTCAAGACATTAACTGATTGCAGCCACAGTGCTGATGACACAGAGGCACTCTAGGACTCTGAAAATTTCCTAGGAATGAGTGAAGCTGAAATAATATAGATCTATATGAGAAGAGATGGGCTGGAGACTAACAGGTTCTGCCCAGGCTGTTCCATTGGACTTACCTTGAGGATGAAAGCAGTGGCTTTGTTGGTTTAAACTGCAGCCTGAGAAAGCAGCATTTGTTAAACTGTTTGGTTTTATTGGCATTCACCGGAGGACTTCACCTCCCAAACTGCCACGGGGCTTTCCTTGATTGGAGCCCCAGGGCAGAAAAAAGATGGAAATAAGATGTATGTCTTACTGTTTCGTATACATTGAGATAAGGAAAAGAACACGAAAGCAATGCCATGAGGCCTCACTAAACCCCAGGCAAGATAGGCATGCCTGAAAGAACTGAGTGAGGTGGATTTTGTTTTGAGTTGGGGGATAATTTGTCAAATTTTTAAGAAAGTCTAGTGCAACACCTGACATCCTCCATGCTGTATGGGGTGAGTATGTGATACTCACTTCCCTTATCCCTGTAAAGTTACAACTTAATCCTCAAATCAAGATTCAAATTCCTTTGTCAGGAGAAGAGAAGGTCCTGGCATTTTTAGTATATTAGAAGCCAAAAGAAAGTATTGCAACCCATCATAGCTAGGACATATAGCTATAGTAGATGACCTATTTGGAATGCATGTTGAGGAAACAGCAAAGGCATAAAAAACTTGGGGAATATGTCTGGTGAGGCAGACAGGGTTAAGGGGGAGGGGCTGTAATAGAATGAGGATTAACCTCCCTGTGCTAGGGAAAGATATTATTCAACACCCATCGCCTTTGCTCTATCACATTGTTAATATTAGGATTGGAATTCAAGAATACCTTAAAGAAACAACCTCTGTCAATTGATATAGTGCCATTTTTATCCATGAAACAAAGAAAATAGAGATAGTAGGATGAAAATTTTTATGTCAGAGTAAAATTATATATACATTTGTGTGTGTATATGTACATATATATTTATATATATGCACACATATTTTTTCATCAGTTGACATGCCTGGACCTTCTCTTAAATAATGAAAGGAAAGTATCAAAGAAGTCCATTGGTGAGACCTCCTCTGTTCCCTTTTCAGACACACAGAGTTATTTCAAGAGTTGGACTTTGTAAGGGATCTAATCCAAGAAGGATTAGTTTAGGGAAATTGTGAGAGCATTAGTTTGTGTTCCATTAGAATTGGCACTAATGAAGCCAAAGTCTTGGAATCAGGTTCTTAACCCAGGGCCTATACACAGATTTCAGGGGAATCATGAACTTGGATAAGGGGAAAAAATCACCTCTTTATATGAATATAATTGTTTCCCTTTGTAATCCTATGTATTTTATCCCTTTAAAATATCCTTCTGAGAAGGGGGCCCACATGCTTCACTACACTTGCCAGGACCATCAAAAAGTTAAGAACCTCTTTCTTAGATTAACTTTCTATAAAGGAAAACTCAACATCCCAGCCTGCTTACCTATCTCTAGTCAAATGAATGTGTTTTTACAGAAGGAACCAGATGAGTAAATACGGATGGTTACAAGGGTGGTGAACCTGTGACCTCAAGGCCACATGTGGTCCCCTAGGTCTTCAAGTGTGGCCCTTTGACTTAATCCAAATTTCACAGAACAAATCCCCTTAATAAAAGGATTTTTCTATAAAACTTGTACTCAGTCAAAAGGCTGCACCCAAGGACTTTGAAGGCCACATGTGGCCTCAAGGTCACAGGTTTCCCACCCCTGAACTTTAACACATCATGTCCCTATTACTGGAAATCCAAAACAAAGCAAATTTTGGAAGGTCAATAGTATCATCTTTGTCTATGAAGGCTGGTGCACCATTGCAGGTATATATGAGATCATAAGTAGCTGTTGTATAGAAAATATTTTACTTAGGCCCAATTTACTGATATACACATGTGTTTTCCCATGGGAAACACTAAGCTCAGCCAATGAAGCATGACCTTGGGCTTTTCCCAGAAGTGTAGTTGGAGCTTCCAACAACAGCTGAAGCCAAAGAAGCCTTTTCCCATCAATATTAAACCTTTCAAATCTATTCTCTGGAAAATGAGCCTCTTTCTGGAGGCATCTCACAGAAAGATAAAGCTGGAAGGTACTTCACAGGTAATGGAGATCAATCCCATTCCTTTAACAGATGAGGAACTTAGAACTAAAGGGAGCCTTAGAAATAGGATCCACAATTTGAACCCAAGTCTCCTGACTGATTGACAACTCAGCCAGTGACAGGATTATTTTTAGAGGGATCTTTGGAAGGTTCTGGACTTACTGGACTTATCTGGACTCTACCACTCCCCACTCCCATCAATTCAGTCCAAGAATGCTGGCCTTAGTATGGAATCCCTTCCAGAGGTATTTAGAGTTTTAGCAATACTTAAAATCAAGACAGACAGACAAACATAGAGAAAGACAAAGACAGACATGTCAGAGAAGGGAGAGAGAAAGACAGAGAAAGAGACACAGAAACAAAGAAACAGAGGCAGACACAAGGTAAGGGAGGGAGGGAGACAAAGACAAAGAAAGAGGCAGACATAGGAGAAATGGGGGGGGACAGAAACAGATGCAGGGGGAGACAGAAACTGAGAGACAGAGAGAGACAGACAGACAGACAGACAGACATAGGAAGAGATAGAGGCAGACACAGGAGAAATGGGAGGAGAGGCAGAGACAGATATGGGGTAAGAAGAGACACAGATGGAGAGAGGGGGAGAGAGAGTGAGAGAGAGAGAAAGAGACAGACACAGAGAGACAGAGAGAGACAGACAGACACAGAGAGAGAGAAAAAAAGAGAGAGAGAGAGAGAAGGGGGAAGAGAAAGAGAGTAATTTAATGCTCCTCCACTGATTTCTCCTATATGTAGGGGTACTGGGCCCCCTCACTGGTATAGGAAACTTTGAAGAAAAGGAACACCCTATATCAGGCCTGCATAACATATGGCCCGTGGCTGCTCGTAGTTGCCAAAGAATTTGGGGCAACTGGCGAAAAATGTAGAGTTGTCGCTGTGCATGCTCCTGTTTGTCACATGATCCGCAGGAACCAACCATCAGCAGCCTGTCTCTAGTCTAAACCTATCTGCAATAGGAAGAAGTCTAGCCTATTTTAATTTTGGCCCCTACCTACTGCAAAGTTGTGCCCTATATCGATGAAGAACTGCACCTTCTCTGCAAATTATAGTTTCAGCAAATTGTTTGGTGGCACTAAGAAGTTAAATTACTTTCCCAGGTTCACACAGCTAGTACATATCAGAGACTGGGTTTGAACCCAGGTTTTCCTGGCTTTCAGGCCAGGCCTCTATCTATTATCCCATGATGGCTCTCTTAACATTTCAAAATAAATGAGCACAGGGTGTGCCACTGTGGAAAAGATGTTTTCTTATGATCCTCTGTGAAGTCTGCTTCCACGCATTTTATTATAGCAAAATTTATTACAGTTCCAGAGTAATTAGAGAACTTCCTGGAAAAGAAATAACTATGGTATTTACTTACATGATTTTCCCCCTCACTTTGCCTAATATTTTCACTCCAAAAATGAATAAGAAATGGGAAATGATGCAGGTATCTGAATCCAATTCAGAGAAGAAAAAAAAGAGACAAAAGATAAAACGAAAGCCAATTGGGCGAGGAAGGGGAGGGGGAATGTGTATTGGCTCCATCTTCTTTCTTCCCACACCCAGTTTATAACAAATATTCTGTTTTTGTTTTAATTTAAAGTTTTATAGGAATGAACCCCAGATGCGGGAGTCAAGAGCTTGGGGTCCAAGTCTTTGCTCCGCTCCTTACAAGTCATGTGATCTTGAGTACATTCTTTAACTTTCCTGAACCTGTCTCCTCATATGAGAAAAGGAGACAGCAGGATCCCAGATCTAGACATGGAAGGGACGTCCAAGACCACCAGGACCACTTTGTTTTACAGATTAGGAATAGATGAGGCCCGGGGATGTACAGAGATACTTGCCCAAAGTCACACAAGTAAGTATCAGAGGTGGAATTTGTACCCAGTCTCTCTGATTCCAGAGTCATCACTTCTATTGTGGTGTTGTGAAACTCAAATGAAATAATGGATAAAAATGTCATTTATGAACCATGAAGTGATATACACACAGAAAGGAATATTTATTATTTCTCATCACCATTACCATATTATTGTTGAGATTTCTATTTCACAGATAAGGAAATTGAGACTCAGAGAGCTTAGGTGACTGCAAGAGACAGGACTAAAATGTAGGTTTTCCTAATCCGGTGCTCTTTCTGAGAGACTAGAAATCTCCCCTTGCAAACATAATTGAAAGAGACTTCAGAAATTCTGTGGTGAGAGAAAACAGGAGTTAAAGGTATCCATTGGAGGCACAGACCCTTTTAAAGTACCATTATTAAAAATGAAAAGAAAAAAAAGAGCAGATAATGGGAGCCCTATCTTGCAGCTATCTCCAGTGCTGGGTCTCCTCTCCCCTCTGCAGTGAATGAAACATAGAGCGAAGCATAGAAGAACGCAGTTTCTTGGCTCTGAAGCTTCTTTCCTTTTTAACTACAGGCAGTAGCTGTTTTCAAGCCCAACGTTTCCCTCAGTTGGATCATTGGGTTGCCAGAAGCACAATGATTGGCAGGAGCAAACCCAGCCATGGTGTCAGGAACCCTGAAATGAAAGCGTGAAATACTGTAGGAGAAGTCCTCACAGTCAGTTCTCAATTGCCATGGGGCTCACTTAGGGACTGGAGGGAGGTAGGAGGGGAATAAATATTATAGGAATAAATATTTAGTACAATGGCAGTAACAAACACCTGAGGGGCTCTACCACCACTATCACCTGTCCCTCATGTAGATGTTGGACATCAGACAGACCAAGCAACTGGATGATCAACTGGACTGTCCCATCGTCAACACAACTTTTTTTTTTTGCATCATAGGGTCATGGCCTAATGAACAAATCATGGACCCATAAAGTCTACCAATTAATTGCTGACCTTCAAAGGCAGAGAAAGGGAAGAACTGAGGAACCTCATGTTTAGCTTAATAGGAGTTAAATTCTATCAGATTTGTAATGTGGAAGCTCTGGAAGGTGGAAGAAGCATTGGCTTTGTAATCAGAAGGATTGAGATTGCTATGTGACCTTGGACAA